AAAAGAACAAATGATATCTCAGTAGCTTTCGTAGCAGCCCTAAAAAGCAAAAAAGGACGAGGCGCACGAGAGAGTCACGCGAGAGGGCCTTGTCTCCCTCGCGCGTTCTGCTCTTTCTGGCGCCCACATTATTTTCATGCATGCTATACGGGCTGGTAACTGTAAGCGATTTCGAGGTGTTGCATGCCTTTCCAGCTATCGTTAAACTAATTAGAATTAAATTCTTCCAAAATCGTTTCTTGGAGTTATAGCATAAGAACCGTATGCCTTGTTGCCCAGAGAGCTAATAGAGAGCTTAAGGAACGAAAACACTTGCTCCAAGACGTAATGAATAGCAACGGAAAGTTTGATTCTTCGCCTGACAAAACGCATCTTTCCGACACAACTATTTCCAGGGCCTTTGTGTTAACTCCTGTGCTATGAATTTTTTGCATGAATTTGGAGCACTGAAATATCATCTTCCGGTTGCCATTTTTGACGTAAGCGTTCTTGTTACTTAAGGTCCTTATAACATCTTATTTAAAATAAAAAATAGGAAACGAGGGAATGCCGCGGGCTCCTGCCACCGGTAAAAGTGTTTTCTTTTGTTTTACGTTCGAAATTGTTTATTATTTAATACACTAAGATTCAAGTTGTATTGTTTTTCTTTAAAAATACCCATGCATGAACGGCGTAAAAAAACAAGCAAGGACGGCTAACAGATAGTAATATATAAGAGAAGAAGAACTGAGTTGTTTTCAAAAAGGGGGCAAGAGGCGTGGTTCAGCTGGATTGATTTCGCTGAATGTTCAACATGTTTAAGTATATTACTTAAATTGAGGATAATTGATCTGAAGGCGATCTTATCCGATTCATTAACTTTAAAAAATGACTTGTTTCTTGAGATTTTTTCAAGGCACAGGGCTACACAATCTTTTTATCAAGGAAAATTAAACAAACAAAGAAAAACTTTTAAAAAGAGCAAAGGCGGTTCGCTTCCGTTGTTGTAGTGGAGTTCCAGATTGTTAATTGTGCTCCCTTTTGAAACCACCGGTTTTCTTTTTGGGTTAAACGTAGAAACTTGACTCATCCGGTTCACTGCGTGCAAAACACTTTGGTTTCAAGAAATGAATCTGCGAAATTTAACGTTTCAAAGGCAGAACCAGGTTAGGCTGCCTTAGCCGGTTGCAAATATATGCGCGCATATAATGAAAAATGAAATTGCGTAGGGCTTGCTCTTTAGACTGTAATTTCAGCGGTTAAAGAATAAACAGTTCATTATCACTTTGTACAAGATAAGATCAAAACTCTCAGCGATAACAGAAAGGTAAACAGCATGACTTTAGTTTTTGTTTCTAAGTCTTATTCTCAGTCAAAGAAATTTCTCTCCTTGTCTACGCTTTCATGGCACTCTAAGCACATTCAGATCTATTTCACCAAGGTAAGATTGGCTCTCGGCAATAACAGTGAAATAAATAGGATTACTTGGAACAAACCTTATTTTTTTACTTCAATACCTTCTTTAAAGGAATCGCCGTCCCTGTCGCTTTGACGAGGTAGCTCATTAAAAGGGATGGACGAGTATCTGATTCCCTGTCTGAGTTTATTGAGTGTAAGTTCAATCATGGGCGCTAACTCTTGCCGGACTATTTCTTTTCGTGTAAGAACCACTGCTATTGAATTTGTTTACCTACTGTTTGATCAAGGAATATCAAACCCCCTGTTGTTTGTATATAGAATTATAAGACTTAGTAGTGATCGCCAATCACTTTTTCCCTGTTGTTATTGGACAAATGCAGCAATATTATTGGTTAGCGCTCTGTCCTACTATAAACTGATTACCTGCAGCTTGGTGGTAGCCCTCTCTTTCGCTGCTCAATATATTCTCTCTCTGGGATCCGTTAATGAGCACCTTTATACTTGTTTGAATAGTGGGGCCTTTCCTTCTCTTTAACATATTTTTTTTCATTAGCAGTCATTGTAAGAAAATAAGTGTTTTCTGAGCGGAGGTCGTATAATCTTTAGGCTTAATTGGTTATTATAAGTTCTAATGGAAATCACCTATGGACATCGCATTTCAGGCGGAATTGGCTTCACCTTTTAATTTAAACTGAAGACGCTTCACGAAGTTGTTGCTATCCCCGCTGTTAGGGTCTAATTTCCTTGGTGTGACAGGGTCCTTTCGCAGCCGATTCAAAGTTTCGGCACATGGACTTGACTTTGTCACCTCTTATCGATAAACCCTATGCAAAAAGAAAATTCCACTTGTAATTAACACGACGAGTACAGTCTGGATTTCGTCTTTACTTACGACTGATCCACTGAAACTGGAACTATATATTAGCATCGTTCTTACTGCAGCACCCAGGTAGTACTGAACGAGTCAAAGCAAACGCGGCACTGAGTAATAACTAACTACACTATGGGGATCATAAAAGCTGATCTTGGTTTGATATAAAGCTTAATTTGTATTTGTTTATAACCACACCTTCATATAATGTTGGCAAGACGTTAATCCCGACTCATTAGTTCCAAAATAGCTTGGGATACGTTTATCGAGCCGCTGAGAAACGTTGACATTCTGAGGCTAGTTGTCCCTTTTAGTAGCACACAAACTTTTAAGAATTTCTTCCTTTTTCGTATTTGTCGCTTGTGAATCAGGGAGTCGTCCTCCTTGTCATTTTTTCGTAGAGTCTCATTTCCTTTCCCTATTATGCTAAGTTTAATTCAGATTTCCTATGATTATATTTTTAATTTAGCTTTTATACTTATTTATTATGCATCTATGATAGTGAAAGGGGTCAATGTCACATGCCTTAATATATTTTTAAATTGTATTTTTATCCTTTTTAAATTATATAATAATTTACAAGTTATTCAGTAATAGCAGGTGGCTTATTTTTAAGGAATCTTGCATTCTATTTTAAGCCTACGTCAGTTTATTAGTATTTACTATTTTACTGATATTGTAATCTGTAAATTTAGTCTTTTCAATTGAGCCCGTCCATCATGGCGGCACAGTGAACTTTTAAAAAACATGGGCTTTCTCGTAAACGAAATGGCCTTTATTTCTCTTTATTTTACTCATGTTTAAGCCCTCTTTACAATGTCTTATCGCAGGGTTGTTCCGTTGTTAAGGCAGCCAAGTGTTTGGAGATGCTATAGTGCGAGGAGAACAGATGAAGAAGTAATGAATGGAATTATGTATCTTTTGTTTCCCACACTGTAATTTTCAGGGAGTTATAATAACTCCTCTAGTGGGGCTAATTTAACTCCTTACAGTGGAGTTATTTTTCGTGGAGTTATTTTAACTCCAAAAAGGAGTTTAAAGAACTCTTTTTCAGGAGTAAAAGTGACCCCAGATATTGAGGAGTTAAAATAACCCCAAAAAAGGAGTTATCCTGTACCTAAAATTTTTACTCCACTTTCAGAGTTAAATTAACTCTAAAAAGAGTAAAAACAACCCATGTAAGGAGTAAAAGTAACCCCATTTCGGAGTTATTTTAACTCCAGACTGGGAGTAAAAAGAACTCTTTTTCAGGAGTAAAAATGACCCCAAATTCGGAGTTAAATTAGGAGTTAAAATAACCCCAAAAAAGGGGTTATCCTGTACCTAAAATTTTTACTCCATTTTTGGAGTTATAATAACTCCCTAAAAATTACGGTGCATGATCGTACAAGACTATGAAACTCCTTTAATTTTCGCACCCCTTTTTGCAAAACATCATCTTTTCAGGCCTCGTACTTTAACCGTATTGTCAAACTATGGAACTATGTTTGTAAGCTAGCACCCCCAACTAGTTTTTCCTCGGCTAAGGCCTTTCAACTTTTTGTTGGCAAATTAATGAGCACTCACCTTTCGCGGGTATATGAAATCAATTACCCCTGCACGTGGACAATAGTCCCTACGTGCCCATGCCACTCATAATTTATTTTATTTTTTGCTTTGCACGAAAGTTTGTGTACTCATTTTATTTTTTTAGCCTAGGTCTTAATCTAGGGGCGGTGCCTCGCATGGGACGTTAGTCCCGTTGCACCTACCCCTTTTGGGTTTTAGCTTCTTTTTTTTTTTGTTGTATTATAAATTTATATTGTATATCACATGAGGAGCACCCAATAAAGCTGTGAAAAAGAACAAAAAAAAGTAAAAATTATTTGCATCTAGCTTTTTAACAACAAAAAAAAGGGATCGCAACGTACTGGTAAAAATACGAATAAAGATCTATATTCTGCGGTTTCATGCCGTCTCTCTCACATACAATAATGCCAATGTATTAAGCAATGTGCTAAATGTGAACATAAATAAACTGTACTTACACGACTTCAAGCTGCAAGCAGTGCAAGGACTCAGGTCACTCAGGGATCAAACAAAGTCGGAGACAACACGATTCTTTAAATAATATCACGCAAAGACCACAGTCAACAAGTCCCGGCGTAGTTATCGCTGGTTTGCGTCAGATTATAAAATTACCTGTAATCAACTGTCCATCCACCTAACTACGATTAAATAAAATATTAAAATTTGAAACAATGAGGGTTGCTAGCTGCTTTCTTGGAGGCTGTGTTTAAAAATTGGGGCGACTCAATTTTGTCTTAAATTTGCTTACGGGAGTCGCTTGCCGCAATTCACGGGCGTATTAAATTCTGAGGGTTACAACTGAACCCCACTGCAGGGATGTCGGTGATCAATGCGGGGTTCGTGGAAGGGCTTGTTTGTTTTTAGTATAGTTGGCCTTAATTCACGTGGTCGCGATTTGAACCAAACGAAACTTGATCTTTTTTGTTCGCTAGGTTCAACTTGAAAATCTAAGGGAGTTGCAGTGAATAAATTTTATGCAAAGTACTAAAATTTCTGGGAAAATTCACTTTTGAGCACAAAAGCCTGCACTGGCCGTAAAATGACAAATGGGGTCAGCTAACGCCCTTCCCAGCCATAGACCTGGGAACGAGGAAACTTCCCGGAAGTGGGGAAACCCCCAGGAAGCCCGTCGGGAATTCTCGGGAATTGTGGGCGCCGGTGGGCGCCATCTTCGAAGCAAACTGCGAATTGCAAGGAAGTGCGACAGTGTTTTTAAGCAAAATGAACCTCAGGAGACGCTGAACAGTCTGTTCTCTTGCCTGGGAAGCAGCGTTAAAGATACTTAATCACGGTAAGTGAGTAAATTGTAAAATCTCAGTCGTTGAAAGGTTATAAAACGAGTAATTGCAAATGCAACTCTACCCTGTGAGCAGAGGCTACATTTTGGCTTTGTGAGCTGTGTCGTGCAAAACTTTTCGCACGCCAGCTCACCCAGCGAAAACGTAGCGTCTGCTTGAAGGGTAATGCAACTCCTGCAAGTTGTTCAAATGCCATTCTTCTTTTAATTCGTTTATATGAAAAATATTCGTGGCAAAATAGCCTCACAGAGGATAGTTTTCTAAAGTGAAAGGGTGCGGGTGGAAGCCATCTCGTTCATGAATTTATAAGATTGTTGTAGTTGTTGCATTTGTCGGGTATTTGTCATCTTGTGGGTCTCGGCGGTGGGGAATTTGTCAGAAAACCTCTGCCCTGGGGTGGGGCATTTGTCAGTTCTTCTAGAGGCAGTTAACAATCATCATTTCTTTATCAATATTTCACATTATATGCATATTCATATGCTTATTTAGATAGCTATAGATATTTCTAATATATAGATTTAGCCAGGGCTAAAGGTGAAGCCTCTGATTCATTTATATACTTCAGTTGTTATAATAAGCAATTAAATTTAGCTAATAAACTCTAAGCCACTAAAATGAAATCTTCAAATCCCCACTTAAGCACCTTTTGAGAGAGGGGTTAAATAAGACATTTACCAGATGGTAAATGCAGCTAATGAAACATGAAGCCCCAAGGGGGGTAGGCTAAGGTAGCCTGCCCCAATGTATGCTCCATTCGATCTTTAAAGCCTTATTTGTGACTGAAAGCACGCTAATTTTAAGATACAAACAAAAGCTGTTCGTGGTTGGAACCTGACTAATTTGTCGCGCAGATTGGTCCCTGTTTTCAAGGCCCTATTCATGGCTAGACTTTAATCATGATAAGACTAGGTAGCTTATGGTACAACTGTATTCACTGGTCAAGATTTGAGACACTGTCTAGCTATAAAGTTCTGCTATTTCAGACCTGGTCATTATTCATCTAGCTTGCACGAATGCAAACAGTTACAGTAATTTTGTTCTGCCGGGTCATTTATAATTACAGTTAACCTGTGTACAATTTGGGGCGGCTACAATGCGTCTTCCCCTTTAGATGCCTAAAGTTACAAGTCCTCTTCGATTAATTTCTTCTTTCGCTTAACCGGCTTAGCTACCATTTGTCGTCAGTTTGTCCTTCATTCATGAAGTACATTTGCACCTTTCCTGGATCCTCGACCCCGTACACGTGTTACACGTTGGTTTGTTCTAGCTTTCATCGATGCTCTACGCAGATCCCCAGCTGAGTCTTCACAATATTTGAGTAACTCTCTGTACCCTGCTACCGTGATCGGCCATCGCGCATTCTAAGATTTTCTCCATTCCCTTGGTCAGTTTTTAGTTAGCCCAAAAATCCAGTTTGTCGTGCATGATCTCTCCATTTTTGGCACCACGCTCTTTACCGTCTTTCTTCAGCGAGTACACCATGCTTACGGTTTGATAAGTCTCCAGTGATGGATCGATAAAAAATGTATATATATCTCCTCTGGAACCCAGGAAAAGGCCACAACTGGATTGGCAACCAATCTCCATAGTCAGGTTCCTCAGATCCTTTTCATCGCCCAGCTCACTCTGTCGCCGCCTGCTTTCTACGTCTACCCCGTTTAGGGGCCTTTGTTCTTCAGCTAAACTTTCCGCTGGAAGCCTTTTTTATCGCTTGGTGCAGTCCTGTGGTTGTGTCGTCGCCTGCTTTCTACGTCTACCGTACGTCAAGCGTCGTTTGGGTGCCGCTGTTCTTCAGGTACAGTGCTTTTTCTTTATCTTGCTATTTTCTTCATTTATCCGTTTCGCCGTTATGCCCCTTCCTCCCCTTTTGTTTGCTTCAGGCTTGAGATCTGAAAGGAGGTTGTTTTTTCCTTTGTCACATTCCTTATGCTGTTCCCCGCTGTTTTGATCTCCTATTCACGCATTGCGTTACAAACGTTACACATTCTTAGGCCCGAGTTTGTGGGTTTTTTGTCCAGTCCTCCCCGTCTTGCTGCCATTCTCACATGGCTCAGTTCCTACATTGTTCGATTCTACTATTTATTTCCATTTTAATATTTTTAAAAGTCCGATGAAGCTCCAATCATCTTGGTTTCAGAGGCCGCATTTTTCCCTTGGGACGGGCATACAAATACGCGGCATGTATTTTTTGTAATACGTGGTTTCAAATTCCATGTTGGCAAATAGTTAGTTCATGTGCATATAAATATCGTCATGGCAGGATTAAGTTACTCTTCCCCGCCGTTCAATACTAAAATACACTGCAAACCATTATATTTGTTTTCGTAGACATGGTTCTAACCGAACGTTCTTATAGCTAAATTTTCACTGGAAGCCTTTTATCGCTGGATACCGTTCCTTGGCAAGTGTCGCAGTTCTAAATATAAATATTTTGGTGATGATTGAGGTGTTCAGTTTTGATGCCATCGTTTATTAATTTTGCTACCTTCCCTTAGCGTTATTTACATGGTAAGCTAGTTTCTTATGGGAGACGTTGTCCATCCTTTTATATCTGTGGTTCTCTAATGTAATCAGTATTTTGCAGCATCAAACAGGCAATTGTAGGCCGGTCTGTAACAGTTCTTTCTATTAGCTCTGGCAGTTTTTCTTGTCATTTTAGTTTAAGGTAGAGCAGTGGTTAATTTTCAGCCAATTACTAGTCTTCACTCAATTTAATTCATTTGCATGGGTGCGCAAAGCCGTTTTCCGGCCTTTCAGCCATGATACTCTTCCCTGCTATAGGTAAGCGATCATATCTGGTACAGGGCTGATTTGTCTTGGTGTTATCCCCTATTCTCCCCGTACCTTTGGCTCTGGGCACACTGGTCAAACCCTGTTACCTTCTAAGTCGTGCCAGTCCATGGTATCCCTGAATTTTTTTCTGGGTTACATTAGCCAGGGTCATTTATGAATGCGTCTAAAAAAAACATTAAGCTTATATTCAATAATATTATATGCAGTGATATGTTAGCCCCATAATTTCATAGTTTCTTCCATATTTGTTCTGCTTATTGCTAGTATATACCTCCATTCTCTGTTTCACTGGGATCAGTTTGTCTCCACTAGTGTTATGTCTCTGGTTCTACGTACATGCCCCTCTTACCTTAGTTAGTATTCCCTAACAAAGAAGCTCTATAGTTATTTCTGCTGGTGTAACGATACAGATCATGCCATGCCACCTTTTTTCTCTCACATAAATGGCTTCTGTACTTATTATATTTCCCTGGGGGTATGACTATTAAGCTGTTATCTACATGGCAATATTGGCACAACCGTATTCCTGCTCACATGTACAACTTGCATAATGATGTTTGCAGCTACTGTTAACTTCAATCCCAACTAGCAAATCTAACTTTACTTCAAGCGCGTACACAAATTTTCACCCCGTAATTAGGTCCTAATCTGTAAAAGACGGGTAAAGTGTAAATACCAATGGAATGCCACAACTAAAGAGCAGCTATCGCAAGAGATGAGGCCTGAATTGTAGGGGTTTTAGTACCTCCTTACCTTATAATATTATTATATAGTGCCACTCTTGTCCAATGCAGCTTTGCTGGAAAGTTAACTGTGGCTATCTATCAGTGGTCCATTCCTTTGATAACCCAATTCGATCACCAGATGTTGTCAGTCATAGCTGACTTTTTACTCATCAGTTCCTTTTATATTTAAAATAAAAATTAACAAAAAACAATAAATTCCTGCCTCTTTTGGTTATTAGGTGATCTTATTCTGATCCCTTCTCAGTTTAACTCTGTGCTTTTTGTTTTGTTCTTGCATTCCTGCACTGCTGTATCTCCGCATCCAACCGCGAGGTTTTACTCTCTGGGTGACCTAGTGCCGTGTCTCACTTACCTTCTGCCTCCACTGGCCATGTGGAATGTTTTGTCATTTGTTCTCTTTGCCACCAAGAAGTGTGATGTCTGAGTTCGCCTTCCGTCTGCATCGTAAGAGTTCTGTTGCTGCCTTGGAACCTGGTCCCTTTTACATCATGGACTTTGCACTTTATGAACTGCATTTACAAATTATCTGACTTGAATTTTGCTGGCACTGGTTGCCCCATTCTCTAGAGGTTATGTACCTGCATTTGTGGGAGAATACCTTCTCTTTTTTTCCCCAACGGGTTTTTAGGGTTTTCGTATCAGGCAGAAACACCTCAAATCAGTGCCAGCCCATCACAGGCCTACGCAAGGTTTGCGCTTAGTAATATTAATTATTGTGTTCTGTCCTGGAAAGCTGTTTGGGTGTCTGTTACCAAATGTATATTCATACTCCTGAAGCTGTCGTGCTCTCTGCTGTTCCCCAAATGGCTAGTGTGTCAGGGGACTTGATTTAGACTTTGTTTGGGTTGCTTGGGAGGATGCATTTCATGCATCCGTGGCGGTTAAGTCTTGCGTTGTGACTTCCCCCAAGCTTTTGGCATTTCTTGTGTCTTGCCATCGTATTCATTTGCCTTAATCTTGTCCAATCCAGCCCGTGCGGCGCTGGGGAGATAAGAAAGGCTCTGCCAATACTCTTGTCCTACCTCATGGTAGTGGGGTGATAAGTGAGGCTTGTGTTTTTGCTGTGCGCATAACCTGAAGTCGCTAGAACCTGCCACAGGGCTGTGTCCCCTTATTATGCCATCTTGTAGTTATTGTCTTATTTGCCTGCATGCGCTATTTAGTTGTGTTACCTTTCATGCGTATCTTAAGCGGAAAAGTGACATTAATGAGACATTTACCAGATGGTAAATGCAGTTAATGGCACATGAAGCCCCAGGGGGATTAGGCTAAGGTAGCCTACCCCAATGTATGCTCCGTTCGATCTTTAAAGCCTTATTTACGAATGAAAGCACGCTAATTTTAAGATACAAACAAAAGCTGTTTGTGGTTGGAACCTGACTAATTTGTCGTATATTTGTCACCATATTTTTCTTAGCATCGCGCAGATTGGTCCCTGTTTTCAAGGCCCTATTCATGGCTAGACTTTAATCATGATAAGACTAGGTAGCTTATGGTACAACTGTATTCATTGGTCGAGATTTGAGACGCTGTCTAGCTATAAAGTTCTGCTATTTCAGACCTGGTCATTACAAGGCTCTGCCAATACTCTTGTCGTACCCCACGGTAGTGGGGCGATAAGTGAGGCTTGTGTTTTTGCTGTGCGCATAACCTGAAGTCACTAGAACCTACCACAGGGCTGTGTCCCCCCCTTATTATGCCATCTTGTAGTTATTGTCTTATTTGCCTGCATGCGCTGTTTAGTTGTGTTACCTTTCATGCGTATCTTAAGTGGAATGGTGACATTAATGTTTAAGAAAATGTAACCTGCAAACACACCTGGAATTTAAAAACTCTCCCAGCAAGCTATAAAAGGCGTATTTAGTGCAAGAAATCACAAAAGAAATCACAAAAAATCACTATGCATCAAGATCAATCACAATAGTACACAATGTAGATCAATCACAATAGTAGATGTTGGGGGTTAATTTTGTCCTTGGTTTAAATTTTATTTTCCTTTGAATTTGGGTATGGTAATATATGATAATGTGTTTGAAACAAAAGAAAGTAGAATTTAAACCAAGGATAAAAGTGAACCACAATATTATTGTAAACTGCAAATTACAAAATACATGTAACAGTACAACAACAACTTAGAACTAAATTCAAAAAGGTGAACTCGGGCTTGAAAAGCCAGCAAGTCTATCATTAGAAGAAAGGAACTCTTTCATATTTTGGATACTTTTTTTAGTGGAGATAGAAAGTGTAAACAACACATCAAACTTCATTTAAGCGGTATTCAGGGCACGAGTTATCGAATAACGTAGCACACTGCAGAATTATTGAATGGCAAGTAAAGAATTAGACTGAAACAAGACCCCCATAATGAGTGTACATTGGTCTGCCAGCTTGCGTGACAATAATTTGTCATGCTGCACCAAAATTACATCCTAGTCTACCATGTAGATGTTCGTGGGGCTTTGTGATGCATTCCTTCCCCATTGCTTGATGAGTCAAAAGATGGTATGTGTGGGAGGCTAAAATTGTCCCCCTTTTTTAAAATTCTAGTCTTGGTTAAAGAAAGTATAAGAGATTTGCAATGCCTTCACGGTCTGTTCGTATAGTACTGCCCCTACAAAATATAGTCTAGTCTTGGTTAAAGAAAGTATAAGAGATTTGCAATGCCTTCACAGTCCGTTCGAATAGTACTGCCCCTACAAAATATTAGCCAGCGAAAGCATAACCACGGCCTCTGAAGATCCCTAAAGAAGATGTTAAGAGGAAGATAGAGGAACCTATTGTGACAAATGCCTGGGGATGTACCTTGGATACCAGAGGTTTTTTGTTGCGTGTGGCGATTGAGTAGTATTGATAAAGACTTGACCGAACTGGACAAGGCACGTGAAAAGTCTCCTGCACTTAGGGGAGGGGGATGGACATGAATGCAGACGTTTGTTTGTAAAAACATGATAAAAGAAAGCAGAGCTGTCGGTGCAGACTGAAACTTTGCCAATTAGTGTTTCGATCTGCCAAATTTTGTGTATCAAAAATTCAATACTCCTCTTCCCCGTATTTTCCAAATCTCAAAGAAATTAAATGACATCATTCAAGTTCATGGAATGTCTTCACAACTGTCCTGCGTAGGGAGGGGGGTACTCCTGAGAATTCTTGGTGGGGGTGTTCCTCATGGTTCTTTAAAATCCTGATCCTATTTTAGACCAAAAATGATATGTTTCACACCCATTTTCAGACCTGGCCCCTAAGAAATTTATGTCATCACTTAAACATAGATTAGAGCAGCAACAAAAAATACGTATACATATGTAATCTTTCTCTTACATTCTTTAATTACTCATTTGGAATTGAAACGAACAATGCGGTATACACTCTGGTAGTTCCCTTGAAAACCATAGCCGATTCCAGACCAAAATGGGCAAGGTCTATACCAGTTTTCAGACCAGAATGGCACAAAACCATCCCCTTTGGGGCGGCATATACCTATAATTATGGCTCATGTTAGGGAGTACTCCCCCGGTGACAACTGTAAAGATCCATAAAGTGAAAGACCCCAGAATATTTACATGAATGCATGCTTCATGCTTGATTGGCTGTCTGCTAAAACATGGGTTCCATCGCGTCAGAAAAGAAAAATGTAAAAAAAACAAGATAAAAAACTATTTGTCCTCAAATCGTTTCTTTTTGTCCTCTTCCGAAGGCCTTGAATAAAGAAATTGTCTGCTTAGACCTGAGAGCTGAGGTTGAAGTTTTTATTGAAGCTTGTATGTTTTTATTTGATTTTGATCACTAGCAAATCTTTGATACGGCAACGCTGAACACTAGTCAGTTGCCAGTAATAATAAAGAACTCTGAAGTTTCATGTCACTTGTACAATGATCCTAAATGGGATTCAACTCACTCAGTGTTTTAGCCCTAATCATTAAATTTAAGAGTAATTTGCTGTTTGGTGTTCAAACAATATTGTTTTGTTCCCCCCAGCATAAATTGTATCTGAGATGACCCACCCCGTTTCCTAAAAAATCAGAAGTTTGGTAACAACGCAGGGGAGGGGGGGAGGGGGGACGGGATTAAACCTGATCTCTCCACTATTTTGTTGTTTTGCTGCACAGACAAGGCAACCTCCATTTTTTGATTGGGCATTGCCCTGAAGGGCAGCCCAATAATGAATAACAAATCAATCATGTCAATGAAACATGTACAACAACTGCAGTTGAGTTTTATTCAAGGAAGGAGAGTAGCCCGTCTGAACTTTTTCTAAAAATCTCTAATCTGTAATCTAATGATCGCGTTTTGAGCTTATGTTTAATATGAATGGACAATCGACAGATAAATTATTTCTTGCAAATTCTTTTTAAAAAACCTATAAGTTTTTTATCGTTAAAAGCAATTTAACACTAATAGAATCGTGGATCCATTTACGCAAGTAAAATCAAGCTGAGCACATGGTTAAATTCAACATAAAATCCATTCCAAATAGTACACTGTACCTTGTATTCTCCTTAAGGTATTCATAATTCTTCATTTCAACCCAGCTCTTTTTGTTTTCACAACTGCAATTTCTGATCGTTCGGCTCGTTCCATTTGACCACTATCATTTCCATTTGATCACTATCATAGTGGAAGGTGCACTTAGCTTATCCAGCTAGTTTACAGGCACTCCACTCAACTACTTAGAAACAAATAATTTTATTTAAGTACAACATTTTCACCGGTTTTATTGATAAGTTCAAGTTAAAAAGACAAAGCTTTACCTGTTTAAACTTGCAAACTGAACTTTGTCACCTTCTTTGTGTTTTTCGGGAACAGCTTGCTTGATTAGTTGTGAAATTTAACCTTTGTTTCGTACGGCAGCAACCCATGAAGGCATTTTGCTCACAACTTACGCAAGCAAATTTGGTGTCCCTCGCTCGGAGGAACTGGAGGTGAATCAGTGAATAGTGCAAGATATTCACTGATTGATTAGCCAATCAGAGCGCACAAAAAACACTATCCACTGTTTTAGTATATACTAAACTAAATTATATACAACCTCAAAAAACTAGGAAAAAAAAGACTCTTACCGATATTTCGTCTTTATTAAAAGACTTCCTCAGGGCAACTGGCAAGTGGTTTGAGCCATTACAATATATACCTTATATACATGACGATACTGAGGACTTTGTTACACAGAGGTGCATTGTATTCTATTATGAAATATATAGAGTAAACAAGTGTTTGTTTACTCCAGTTTTAATTTACCCATGCTTTAAAAAAACTGCTTACCTGTCTGTCCTCTAGTGTTATAATCATATTGTAAGCAGGTTAATGTTATTTTAACTAAAATCAGTTTAGCCATGAAGATATTTAAGAACCACCATAACTCATTGAAACATGCTCTGTTTTATTTCATTTCAGGCACAGTTATAATTTTTTTGAACAATGCCACTCTACCAATACAAAGAGTGACCATAATTAATCCAGAATGCATTCCTGTCCATCAAATGTGTCATTAGGGCCATTTATACGAGGAAAAATAAGACGCGAACTTTCCGTATAAACGGCACATTTCGTCTAAAATAAGTCGCGGCTTAGCTAAGACGCGTCTTATTAGATAAGACATGCTTGTATAAATGGTATAGTTCGCGTCTTATTTTTCCTCGTATAAATGGCCCTATTGTGTTGTTAACTTAGGAGCAGCAACTTGAAATCTTATTTTTTAAAAAATTAATTTAAAAGCTGAGTTTGTAATGAACATCTTTTCCAGCCATTTCCTCAGTTGATGATCAGTTATCATGTGAGGAGTAGGTTGGTGTGCCATTGACGGCAGAAGTAGGAAAAGTGGTAAGACAATATTATTATTATTATTATTGTGTTATTATATGTAATTGTCTGATTAGAAGAGCAGTTAATATCATGTCAGTAGTGCTGAAAAGACATGCATCAAAGTTGATAAATTTGGAAGCACTATATCATCAGTCATTGCTTCACAGGTCTCATGCCCCCTACCAAGCCCCTCCCCACTGGGATACAGTGGAACTTCTCCTTTGGGACACCCCTATCCAAGGGACTTGTCCATTCAAGAGACACAAAATTTGGTCACATAATCAAGACACGTCCCTATTCTGGGTAAAAGGACACTTTTTCTGCATCCCAAAATCCAGGATTAACTTCCATTCAGGGGACACCTTAGCTTTTAAAGGGTAGATATATAACTGACCACAAAAAGGGTTGATAAGTGTAAGTGTACACTAATCAAAATGATAACAACAGTGGTCAATGCACTACACGTGTAGGAATTAAACACACACAATCTTGGTTGGTTTTTCAGCCCAACCTGTATTCAGGGGACTCTAGCTTCAGTCCTGAAGTTGTCCCCTGAATAGAGTTTCCACTGCGTCATTAACCTTTTTGGTCATAACAGAGCCCAGTACTTTCTTGATCTTGAGGTAATAGTCAGATGATCCGTTGTAGTCTGGGAAAGGGTGATTTAGCCTGTAATAAATTCATTAACTTAATGTGAGGCACCTGTCTTTTATCTTTTAGTCCCTTTGTATTATAATACAGAATTATGACAGATGTGCATGATATTTCTAGATATTGGCCACTCGACTTAACATTTTTTGAGAGAAAATGTTACACATGTGTGTAGGCAATGGCATCTACGTCAAATCATTCTCAAGAGGCTGAACAGGCCGGTGGTTTCAACAAAGTTCAAGTCACCATTTTGGCTTCAGAATGGGGGTCAAGCAAAGGGGGACTCTCCACCATAAGCAGAGAGTTAGCCATACAGCTGGCAAAGTTCCCGGAGGTGGAAATCACTGTCTTTTTACTAAGATGTAGTGAGGAGGATAAAAACCAAGCCCTATTGAGCAATGTTAAGATTGTTGAGGCGAAAAGGCATCCTGGCTTTGATGAACTGGACTGGCTCAGCTTTCCACCAGAACATTTGCAAATTGACGTAATTGTTGGTCATGGGGTCAAACTCGGTCGCCAGGCGCAAATCATTAAAAAGTCAAAAAAATGCAAGTGGGTTCAAGTGGTACACACTGATCCAGAGGAACTAGGAATGTTTAAATGTTACAGCAAGGCAATTTCAAAAGGTGAAGAAAAGCACAGAATTGAAGTTGAACTGTGCGAAATGGCAGATCTTGTGGTGGGGATTGGACCCAAGTTGAGCGAAGAGTTCAGGTCATATCTTGGAAGCTGTCGCAAAGATCAAAATGTAGTTGATTTTACCCCGGGACTTTTTTATGAATTCACCAGTGTAGAAAAATGTTCTGAAGAGAGAAAACAGTGCAACATCTTGGTATTTGGCCGAGGAGATAAAGAAGACTTTGAATTAAAGGGATTTGATATCGCTGCAAGAGCTGTTGCTTCACTGCCCGGAACTCGTCTTGTGTTTGTCGGGGCCCCAGATGGAAAGCATGAAGAAATAGCACAAAAGTTGACTGGATGTGGTGTTCCTGCTAAAAGATTGAGGGTGAGAGGTTTTATGAAGAGCCGGGAGGATTTAAAACGCTTGTTCCTTGAAGTTGACCTTGTACTTGTGCCGTCAAGAGCCGAAGGCTTTGGGTTAACAGGTCTTGAGGCCCTATCAGCTGGTCTCCCTGTGCTTGTCAGTCAGAACTCGGGGTTTGGTGAAGCACTGAGCAAGGTACCATTTGGCTCATCATTTGTGATTGATTCAGAGGATCCTGAAGTATGGGCCACAGTTATTAAAAAAGTGTGGAGCAAAGACAGAAACGGCCGTCTGGGGGAGGCTAAAATTCTACGCACTTGCTATGAGAGGGAATACAACTGGGCCAAACAGAGCAGAGATCTTCTTGACAAAATGATCAGCTTGATTCATGGTATGACATTTAGCTACTATGTGGTCCACAAAGTTGTTTAGTAGATGTTATTACGATTGTGTTCATTAAAGTATGAAAGCCATGAGATATATTTTACAATGCATTTCACTAACTCCCAAAAAAATCAATTATAAAGATGGATGCAATTCTAATGGGATCCAAAACCCTATGACCACCTGAGAATAGAGAGGAAAAACTGACTGACTGAGCTGCAGGGTGAACATTCACTTAACCTGTGTACAGTCACCCTCTTCCTTCAAACAAAAATGTAAGGGAATCTAGGAAATTTATGCTTGTGGAATCCGGATTCCTGGACTTCGGACTTCTGGAATTGCACTAACGATTGAAATCCAGAATCCAAGTTCCACGGACAAATCAGTACCTGGAATCCTGAATCCAAGACTGTTTTGGATTCCCTTGCATGAGGCGAGAGCATGGTTTGTTTGTTTCGTATTTGTCTCGCCTGTTGCACACTTGGATTGTATGAGATTTGGCATCTTTGAGACCAAGAGAACTAGGGGACCGGTCATTATTTATTTGGGGGGGGGGGGGGGGATTTTTTTTGTTTTAGAATGAAAGAAAAAACGTGACCCACCCCTTTAAGCCCATTAGTTAGTTGTTGACCCACCCCCATATAACTTTATATAAGAGGTGGCCCACCCCCAATCCCCTTCAATCTATACCTCTATAAGGAGTTGCTGTTCACTGAACGAAATCAGCATATCTTGTGGACCAGTGTCCTACTCTGCGGCCACTTCTTGTTGATGTACCTTCTTGTATTGTTACAGTATGACTGTCATCATCTGATTCACTTTCGCTTTCACTTTTATCACACAAAACAAGGTCATTGTCACTGTCACTCTCATTACTGTCCTCACCAAAACTGACGCTTGAAGGAAATGTAGATTCCTTTGAAGTTTCATAATAGTGTACTGTGATTCGCTTGATTTTGTCGATTTTTTTTCCGTTCTTGCTAAGTTTATTATGCTCAATGTATTTGTCCAACTCGGGGACTTTCAGAGTGTCAAGCTCCCCCTTCTCTAAAAGTGTTTTCTAGTCATAGCAATGTACATCTTTTAAGGCTCGAACTTGCTTTTCTTTTCTTTTCTTCGCTCTTGCTTACGGATCTCATTGACCCTTTGCAGTTGCGACAAGTGCTCAATGTAATTCTTCACCAGTTTTTCGTCTACAATGAACTTGGAGGAAAATTCTGTGATAGCATCCGATGCATTAATTGACAACTTCCCTTGCTCGAAGAGCTTCTTAGTATTTGATCGTGGCTGCCAATCATCGGGAATACGCTTCTAAATTGAATAATGAATTCAATAATCCATTATTGAAACCAATAATGATTTCTAGCTGTTCACGCTTCAGCTAGTAAAAGTTCCCAGACAGTTATATTAAGAAAAGGAAGCATGCAAGCCTTCTCAATAGGGCTTATGTTTATTTATTGATATTTAGTGCCCACATCTTTGATTCTCCACACTTAGGTTGGATTGCTACATGTGACATCCAGTTGTGTTATATTTTATGTCCAGCATTGCATTAGAATTTTTTAGATCTTCAACATGAATTGTAGTGAGTGTGATTCTTTACAAAACACACAATGACCCACCCCCAATCATCGTGAAATTCTCTTTTGGCCCACCCCTTTTCTCTAAAAAAAAAAATAGGCCTGGCCCACCCCATGATTTTTCCCCCACCCCCCACCCCCACATAAATAATGAGCGGTCCCTAATAAGGTTTCTTTATTATAGGGGTATAGATTGTATGAAGTTTGACATAGTTGGGACTAAAAGAAGTGTTCGTAGTGGAGAGGTACACCCGTTAGGGGAAGTTGGACTTTATTAGCATTATCAAGCTTCGAAAATATAAGCAATAAGATATTTCTTTACTGCTTTGTATAATCTTAAAAGTTGGTTACTTTCTTGTGTACCTTAACAGGTAACCCGGATATAAACAACAGTCTGCAGGAACGATTTGCACGCGCCAACTTTAAGGACTCGAAGATGTCTTTGCAAGGCGCGGGCAGTGTTAAAGAGGAAAATCTTGAGCCTTTGAAGTTGGATGACCAACACGAAGTGCTAGAAGGTTTAACAAATGTGAAAGCTGAGAGGCAAAACTCTTCTTTCCATGAAATCAGTTATGGTAATGAAAGATTGACCTATTTACAATTATTAGTATATAAAGATTAACGGAACAATGTGCTAGAGTAAGAGACCAAAAAACGTTATGCAAATTAGATGCCTTCAATCGTTAGCTAAGTTGCGGTATTTTTTAAAGCTACCCTACTCGTTTTACTCTAACATAGTTGTAATCCTTCTTACTGCTTTTTACTTGTTCCGTTTGAGATAATAATGTGTCAGCGAGAAAACACTTTTTTTGTCCCTATTTCAAAATATTCATTTTACTTCAGAGTTAAGAGGATCCTGTGTAAAGTAGGACACTTGTCACACACACACACACACACACACACACACACACACACACACACACACACACACACACACACACACACACACACACACACACACACACACACAGAAAGCCGTAAGTTTAGCTCTACGATGTGGACGATAAAGAGTGGTAATAGGACTGAGTGGAGTCCAATTCGGTCTGTAATCATACGAGTGATAAACTACGCAGTCGCGATTTGTTTAATCACGAGTATGACTACAGACCGAAATGGACGACACAAGTTCTGTTACCAATTAATCTTAACCATAACAAAATTGGTGATATTTTAGACTTTTTCTAAATCAAAACACAAGAAATTCCAGATTTTTTTTTGCTAGCGATGAAAGAAAAAAAACCATTTAAGCGCGCGCATGATGGCGCGCACTGTCCAATAAATTACACTGTCCTATTAGCGCTGAAATCAGGATAGTTGATAACCAATCAGATTTGAGAACTTTGTTATAGTTATGATTACAGATCGAATTGGACGGCACGAAGTCCTGTCACCAGTTAATCATAACCGTTACAATTTCCGAGGAAATAAATGCATTCTTTTTCGGTGGAAGAGAATTTAAATACCAAATGTCCAAAATTAGGGAAAATATCACTGGCGGAGACACTGTTTGAATGTTACAAGTTCATCTATTTTGGAAAGTCCCCAGTTTTGGTAGGTTAAGTGGTTGTTGCTATGGTTATTGTGATAACTTCTGTGATTGGTGGATTTGGCTGAGTGCACTTTATATGATTGGCTGATGTAACTGTCCGATTACAACCCTGCACTATGATTAGTGAAAGTTAATGCACCAATCAGATTTGTGGAAATTGTAATGGTTACGATTAAAGGGTGACAAAAAGGTTAAAGATTTGTTTATGGTGGAGAATGCACTTTGCTTCTTTGCAGCTAATTTTCAGGCAATCCACTCAGATAATTATCAACAGAACATAAAGTAGAACACCTCAAATGACACTTTCCGTGTGCTTAACTGGTAAATCTAGCTTCCAGAAGGAAAATGCACAAATATATTCTAGTTTTTAAATGCTTAAATAATCTGGTGCCCAAGTATCTTTCTCAATATTTTACAAGGAATGCAGATTTGCCCTATCATGCAACTGGGACAAGGAACGACCCGCACCCACCAAAGCCTAAACGTAACATAGGCAAAAGTACTTTTAAGTATATAAGAACTATTTATTTCAATTCTTTACCTAATTGTGCCACGTCCGTGAATAGTTTTAAAATACGATGATTAAGTATTATATAAATTATAACTTTTATTTCCATTCCTTTAGCACAGACTCTGTATATTGACTTACAATGTACTTAGACTTCTATTGTATTTTCGTTGATTTTAATCATGTACATACCTTAGAAATTTTTGAATTTTGTACATCTTTATTTCTCAGGGCCCCTATGGATACCAGCCTAGTTGCTGAAAGGGCTACCCTGGCTAAATAAAGTTACTTACTCACATAACAGGATTTAAAACCCCAACTGGCAGGAGGCGACCAGTTAGCTGTTGCTAGTTGGCAGTTGACGATAAATTTCCTTGTCTCTCTTCTTTACGCAGAGATCGCCAACTGCAAAGCAGACATCTCATTTTTTGCCGGGCGTCATCATACAGACACAAGACAGTGGCTGTTTGAAGATTTTGACAAATGGTTTAGTGACCCTGGCGACTCCAGAGCTTACATTCTCCTAGGTGATGCAGGAGTTGGTAAGAGTGTGATAGCAGGAGCTTTGGCGCAGCGAATGATGAAAACTGAACTTCTAGGGGCTGCTTACTTTTGCCGTCATAATGATGGCACCAGAAATGATCTAAGGAATGTTCTTGGGACTATAGCCTGTCAGCTATGTGATTGCAATAGTGAGTACAGAAGTAGAATGGGAGGGGAGGATGGTGTGAAAATCTTTTTAGCCAATTCTAATTTAGGGGTTCGAGAACTATGTACTAAATTATTAGAAGAGCCACTAAGCAAGTGCAACCCATTTCAGCAGCGCAAATTAGTCGTTATTGACGGTCTAGACGAGACAGAGTACAAATCTAGGAAAGATTTCATTTTCCTTATAAAAGAACGTTTTCCGAGGCTTCCAGAATGGCTTTTGTTCTTTATCACCAGTCGTCCTGAAGACATGTTACAGAGCAGATTGGAGAAGTACAACCCGTGTGTTAGGATTTGTGCTGGAGACAGTGAACAGCGCAGGTTTTATCAGCGGCACGAACAGGACATTCAGCGATTTTTAGAATACAGCGTAGATTTCTCGCGTTGCTCCCTATCGGCAGAGGACATCACAAAGGAGTGTAATGGACTGTTTTTATACGCTGTCTATTTTGCGAAAGAACTTAACCGTTTGTTAAATTCAGGTAAGACTGGTAATTCTAGCGATCTTTTTCCGAGGGACATTGCCGACATTGGAGACTTCTTTCAAACAAATTTACAGCGCGTTTACGATAAAGTGGGAAGAGATCTGTATAGTAAATTATTAGGCTGTGTCATAACTGTTCCATCTCCTCTTCCCGTATCTTTTGTTTCATTTTTTCTTGACAGAGAGATGTCAGATCGTGATGAGCAGGAGATAATAGATGCTTTTTCGCAATTTTTTGTGATGCAAAAGACAATAGCTTTTGTTCACAAGTTGATTCCTGCTTGGTTAACAAACAAAAGAAAAGCTAAAAGATTGTACGTGGACAAGAAAGGAGCTGTTCAATACCTTATAAGATTATTTAAGGAAATTCTCTCTGCTGTCGTCAACAAAAACGAACGAAAGTTACAGCCTATTGAGAGTGAATTACAGGCTTTCTTTTGTGGTTGTGCTGTTCAATTTTTGTGTCAGCATGGTGAGAAGGATTCGAGATTGCTTGCTATCAATTGCCTAATGAGTTTTTCTTTCCTAGAAGTAAGGATTCGCAATGGGGGATTCGATATTTATTCTCTTCGTAAAGATTTTGGTATTGCAGCTAGATGCCTTGCTGGCGACGTTTTTCCCTTGGTTTGCTTTTATATTGTTCTGGGTGTTGGCTATTATTTAAAAGTAAGATTTGGTACGACTGCCGAAATCAACCATAGCAGTTCTCTTCGGAGAATAGGTTTTTTTGACTTTTTGGGCAACTGGACAGGCGGTGTTTAGTTGAGGGAGGACAGAAGACTCTAGATTTTATGGACCAACTTTCAGTAAATATCAACCCATTTATCAAGCTACGTTGGGCACAATTTTAAAATTTGATTTCGCTCGTGTTTTGTTCTTTGACATAAAATCTTAGGGTTGGATATTTAAACGAAGTCTAACTTAGACTCGAGGTTTAAGAAATCTTTGGACCTCCAGATCTCTTACTTAGTGAGTAAATTTAGGAAGGTAAATGCTTTCTAGTCTGCGCTATATGCTTACTCAAATGAAGAATGATCCTCGCAGTGATCGCAATTTATGGAATTGCGTAAGGACCCTGAAAAGTCAGTACTTCAACGGGATTTGAAACCGTAACCTTCCAATTGCATAAACTGCGTTTACAATTGCGACGATCATTCTTCATTTGCTTTTATTTCCGCAGTTCTTATATGATTTATTTTATATGCATCTATCCACTATATGCTTAATAAACACAACTGTTCACGACAAATGGTATTTCAGAGATAAAAGTGTTGGGCAAACTGAAAATGACTTAGAACACGGTTTTGTTAAACACTTGTTAAACTCCGTTTAAATAACCGGCCCTTAGTGAGAAGTGAAACAGGCTGCAGTTAATAGTTGTTGTAAATAACATGTTACAGTCAAGAGAAATAAGTATTCGTCACTTTCAAAAAAAAGACGCGCGAAAATTTTACCCGCGTTGTGCACGCTATGTGCGGGAAAATTTGATCCAGGGCGCGCGTTTTGTCACTAAAGGCGGGAAAAATACGCAAAAATAGACACAAACAAACATCCGACCAAGAGCACGAAAAAAGAAACTTAAATAATTATAAAACTTAGTTAGATTACATTGTTTAGAAAATTGTTTTATATTTTAGACCCCGTTTACATGGGTCCGGACAACAAGTTTTGAACAGACGAATTTTCTCGGAGCATGGAAATTTTGTTATATATTGCAATACTGTCTGCCGTTCAAAAGATTTGCACGATTTCGCGGGTCCCGTGTAAAAGGCGAAAATCGGCTCTGCAAGATTTTGTCTGTTCAGAAATTTTTGTAAATAGATCTTATCTGTATTCGTGTAAATACAATATATTATTAACATAGTTTGCAGTTTTTCCTTTGTTTATTGTTACTACATATATTTGTATTTTTCGGTTGTGGGCTTCCTGTAAAGTAGCTTGTTACTAAGTGGACTTTTACATTAAACAATATATTACTATAACTGTAACGTTATACCTAACCTTTTGTCAAGAGTTTAACTCAGTTTTAGATTCTGATTGTATACTTTTAAAATTTTAGAAACGTTTAAAACGAATTTTAAATTAGCCTTTTAGGTGACAGAAAGTCAAAGTGAAGAAAGGTTTCTACATGATCGCAGCCAGCGATACGATCACTTAAAATGGTACTGTTCGTATAAAAATAGCAAACCGCCTTAAAATGAACTGACGTCTATGTCAGCGATCGTTGAAGAGTTGTTTCCATCTGATCGCTGCGATAGCGGAACCCTTTTTCCAGCGATTCTGTTGATCACAGTGATCATATCACAACCAAGCTGTTTAACTTTTTAGATCAAAGTTAAGTGTAGACGACTATGTCTGCATGCTTTTTGTTGTTTCTTTGTGTTTTCATTATACTGATTATTATATGAGGAAATACAGCTAGGTTGATGGTTAACGTATGAAACCGAAGCATTAACTTCTGATAAAACCACCCGCTCAGTTAGTGTTTACTAAGGCTATGTTTACGCTATACCGGATAGCTTTTGCGCCGGCACGGAAATCATACCCGATAAGGCTTCTTTTTCACACATAAGAACGGTGATTTCGGCGTGATTTCTGTAACGGAGCGAAGCTCCACCGCGCCGATCTCGAAAGTGAAGCGTCACATATCGGATAAGTTCTGTGCCACACGTGTACTGTAGGTATTCGGACAGTAGTTGAAGAGAATGAGCAGGAAAGAGGACTGGAACCCACTGACTGAGACGGAAGTGTGGGTGAACGAGTTGTCCCACTTCTGTGCGTTGCTGTTCATATTAACACGAGTAGCTTTTCATGTGGAAACGAATAGTTATCCGGTGTAGTATGAAGATAGCCTAAGGGGGTTTTGAAACAGATCTCTACTAATTGTGTTGTCTACAATTACGATAACTGAGCCTTCGGTTCGCCATCGTAAACGCCTTACAGATCTCCCGCTCTCTCTCTTTTTTCTCGTACTTTAATATCGATTGCATAGAATCTGATCTTGTCGGTTTTAGGGTAAATTATCGTTAGAAAATATTACCAAGTTATGAGTTTTAGCTTACAACGTGTACTTACAACGTGTATGGATTACATATGTGCTTAGTGAAAATACTGCATTAAATATCGACTTACTTTTACTAAATGAAAATTGTTAAATGCTTTTTGTAAACTTTTCATTTCATTTTCTTGTTGCCGCATGGCGTCTGTACCGTCTGCATAATATATAGATTTAGCCAGGGCTAAAAGCGAAGCTCTGGTTAATAATACTTGAAAACAAAAAAAATTAAATCTTTTAATGCTAAACGGGGAGGGCAATGAAAATGGCATCAAGATCAATAGATGTAATTAGGAAAAAAACTTGCACGTGCAGCACACTTTTTTTTCTAATTAGCAAAAAAAAAACAAATTTGAACGTACAGCACGCTTTTTGTCTTTTTTTGCGTTGTTTTGCACAACTACAACGCTGTTTTGTAGGACTAAAACGCCAAACTTACTAGTTACACATTATTTTTATGGAGGAATTGTCGTATGTGCTTACCCAATATTTTGTCTCCTGTGTTCTTCGCTTTTATTTTTCACTGCCGCTCATTTTCACCGTGCTGGTCGCTAGCATTTCTCATTGTCTCACAGCCGTTTTGAATTTTCATGTTTTTCTTCCTACAAAATTCGTCTCTTTTGTTTCCAATCACTCGCTCTAGCTCTTTCTCTCAAATAACGTCGAAAAAGACACGACTTTGTTGTTGTTTTTTTCTTTCTGAAAGTCCATGCGGCCATGCGATAAAACCCTGAGTTGCATTTTGGTTGCCATACCTGTTGATTGAATTATTTTACATTGGTATGCCTGTGGTGCGGTCAGGCGGGCGGGCGGGCGGCAGGAGCCGATTACTTTATCGGCTTCTGCGAGCGGGCGGTGTACGGTCACGTGATTACCAAATTTTCTCGGATGGGTAGTTTACCACATTTCTTTACCCATGGTGCTCCGCTGCGCGCGCTTCGCGCGCGAGAGTTCCGCTAGAAAATGTTTCTCCCAGTTGGAGATTGGTTTGTTCGTTTTGGCGAGTTTGTAGCAAATTTATCTTCTTTCATTTCCGAGATTCTGGACTTTTTTCTATTGAATGGTTTCGATTCTTGTTTTTAGGAGCGACTGTCTGTAAAAATGGACGAAATCGACTTTTTGTGGCACAAGTTTAAAATTCGAATTTCACCCATTTTGCCCATCGATAACCCTTAATGAGTAATGAAACATGCTGTCGTTAGTTTCCCAAATAACGTGTTCTTTTGTTAAAATCCGAGAGGGGCACCCAACGTCAATTTTCGGAAAATATCTGTTCGGAAGACATTTTGAAATCTAGAATTTTCGGAACATTTGTTGTAAATTTTCTTAAGGGTCATCTAGAAGTTTCGGGAGCCTTTTTTCTGGCTGAAATTTTAGAAAAGGTAAGTTTTGATCCCTTTCAGCTAGGAAATCCGAACAGATAAAAAGTTTTAGGGGGATAAAAGTATGCCTATATCTACCGTTTAAATAATAAATTGCGTTTAACAATGCTATGTTTAAGTGGTTTTGAACTATATTCTCGTTGGTGCCCCTGATTCGAGAAAACTCACTGCCCGTTCGGTGCTCAAAATCCACTTCCGGTAAAGCGAAATTTTACACAAATTTCATTGACTCGTACGTCAAACCACAAAGATTTGGCAGCCTTTGAAATACACGAATAGTTTTTATGACCCTTTCTTTCTTATAAGATAATAAATTTGTGAAAGCTGTGATAATTCTGTGGCCAAAAAGGCATTGTTAAAAATAGCTAGTCCCTATTGACAATTTCTACCGTTAAGAAATTATAGGGATAAAATAATGCAAATTTTTACAATGCGCTATATTTTAGAATTTCGCAAATTGACTTCCTACGGCTTAACTAGGCCCCAATCTATTAGAAAATCGAAACAAATCTCTGGGCAAACGATTTTAAGTAGCTCGGAAGACCTCGAGTTCAACCCTAATTTTGCGAAAAATCGCGACATTCCAGTGGTTAATTTTTGTTATTTACAACTTTGTTGACTGAATTGACTTTATCTTCGACATGAAGATTTCAGTACCAAAACAATAACAAATGAGAAAAGCAAAATAAAAGTTAAGTAAGAAAGAAAGGAACAATTGAATATTATCGTAAAAGAAAAAATTACTTGGCTATGTACGGCTTCTACGCTAGTCGTTTGGTAAGAAAGTTTAATTAGAGTTCGGATGCATAACAATTTAGAATATTTTCAATATAAGAGGCACTGAGATTTAAGATGTTTTGATCGCACATAGACATAATATACAAAAATAGTGCCTTGAAAGAAATATTCGTAAAATTACTGTTTATCGAGTATAGGCTCTCCAAGAAGATACCCCTTATATGAGAAAGTGATGAGTGGGTACATTTCAACAAATAGTGGAATTCATCACCAATTTCGGATCTATTACAAAGGGGGCAAAGCCTCTCAACTCTGGGTATCTTCTTGTAGCGCTCAGATTCAATAGGTAGCAAGTGGCAAGAAATTCGCATTTTGGTTACTGCCACTCTTGTCTCAACGTTCGTTATTAAATCAAGATAAGATTCAAATCTGACTTCGTTTTTCACTTCACTATACAGACTTAATTTATTGCCAACTGAGGAGTCGAATTTATCCTTGTTCAGACTTTTCGACCAATATTCTTGGTATTCTTTAAACAAATTTCTTTTACACGTTCTAACCAGGCGAGGAAATGTCCTGTAGTCAAGATGTGGCAGATTTGGAGTATAATCATTTAATTTGGTAAAGTGTAATAGGTGTCTTACAGTAGTGAACCATGAATGCTTTCCTACATTATTTAAATGGATGTTTATCTCTAGGGCGCTATGAAAAATTTGGTTATATTGTAAGGTAAATAATCTTAGTAAGTACTTAAAAATTCTAGTGTAAATAATAACATGAAGAGGAAAACGTCCGAGTTCTCCCTTCACAGCATGGTTACTTGCCTTGGAGTGAACCCCTAAGGCCATTTTGCATACCTTGTTATGCATGTTCTCGGGTGTTATTCTTTCATCAAAAATTCTCGAGACAAATTTGTCACAGTTATTCCCGACTGATTTTAAAAAACAACCCCAAATTTCACAGTTGTACAAAAGGATTGGGCTCCCAAGAGAATCAAAAAAGTTTAAGAACTGTTGAGACAGATGCACCATTGTAAATATTTACCTCTGACAGGAAACTATAAAGAGACCTGGTGGCTTTATTGCTGCCGGGCAACAGCTGTCAGCAGACCATATTCTTGAGCGATTTGAGATTTTTCGTTCCATGGTTCAATGGTTCCATGGTTCCATGGTTCGATCGTCATCTGTGACTGCAGCGCTGTGCAGTCAGCGGTTTGCTTAAGCAAGGGCTTAGTTACCGCGCCTTTTTTTGTCTTAGGAGCGCCCGCCACTTTGTTTTACTCTCGTGTACGATGTAGTTTATACGGGGCACCCAGCGACAATTTTCGGAAAATATCTGTTCGGAAGACGATTTGAGATCTAGAATTTTCGGAACATTTGTTGTAAAATTTCTTGCTTGCCTGCCTCTCCTAGGATTTTCGAAAATCTAAAAAATGGTCTAATTGCCTATTTTTAACGGATTTTTACCCTAAAAAGGACACCTAGACTTTTCGGGAGCCTTTCTTCTGGCTGGAATTTTCGAAAAGGTAAGTTTTGATCCCTATAATTTTCGGATCACTAGACTTTCAGCTAGGAAATCCGAACAGATGAAAAATTTTTAGGGGATAAAAATATGCCTATATCTACCGTTCAAATACTAAAATACGTTTAACAATGCTATGTTTAAGTGGTTTTGAACTATACTCTCGTTGGGTGCCCCTGAGTTTATCGGATGCTTGCTGTCTTTTTAAACGGCCTAAACGGTAAGAACAGTTCAAGAAGTATTGTACGGAACATTTTTTCGGTTTATTTTTTTATTCAGGTTTCTAGATTAGTTATAGCGAGTATTTTTTTGTCACACAGATTGTTATCAGTAATCTCGGTAATCAGGATTGTAAGTTACATTATAACATAACAAAAGTAAATCGCGCGCTCTGATTGGTCAGGTAGCCACTACCATTTGCCCGTGGGTGCACGCCAAGAAACTGTGCTAGCGCGGTAAAATTTAGGCAAATTCAACAAATCTCCTCTCCTGACGGTAAAATACACCGCTGAAATGCACAGATGGAAAGTGGAAGTTGGAGAAAATACTAAGCTGTCGTTTTGAAGGAAAAAAGACAAAGATCAAGCGACAAATTTGCCCTGGGTGAATTAATCACTGTTTTCCTCGCGCCTAGAATCGGCTGAAGGAAAATCGAGCGATCGAAGATTTAAGGTACATTTTGTGTGTTTTTTATAGAAGAAAAAGTCTGTTTGAAATGTAAATTTATCAACTAGCATTGTGTTATTGACTTTTTGGTCAAGCTGATGCTAAATTCAAGTAAATATTTTAGGAAACACGCTCAAATTCGAGACAGCTTTGTTGTGAAGTTTTCATCGCATAGTTTAGAAATTTTAGTTGAGTTTAAACGGGCACATTACGCTGGATTAAGCGAATTTCATTTGAGTACAGAAACATTTGGGTTTTCAAATAAATTTTTCAAAAAATAACTTCTGTGTGTATTATTTTGTTCCTCAGTGTTCATTCACAACTGTAGTTCATAGAACGGTCGAAAAACAACAGCTTCAGCGCCGGCTGTGTGTCCGCGAATTTCAGTTGCAACTTTGACTTTCATAGCTGGATTTCCCCTGACAGATTTCGATACAAAGCTAGTTAATTTGTTTTTAAAATTAGTGTTACCTGTTGTTTTAAAGGAATTACAGTCAAATTTTCTCATTTCTACTTTACGTTTATTTCAAAAATTGTCACATAAATAAGCTTGATAATTATTTCATTCATTTATTTTTAGCTTATTATTTAGAGTCTTTTTAGTAGGTGTTTATAGTTGCAGCTATAGTTTTCCCTCAAAGTTTTTACCAGAATAACAACGAAAAACGTTTTGCAATTTACCTGAAGACGGAGCCGGTTGATTCAGCGAAAGAAAAACTCAAAGGTACGTTTTTGAAAAACATAGAAGATGATTTGTTTACGCGCGGGCAGATGGCAGCATACATGAACTCGGACCGATGACTCAACCGAAGGCAAATGGAAAATAATGTTT